GGTTGTAGGAATGGTACTAGATTTGGGAGGGCAAATATAGCCACAAAATAAATTGCATGAAGAAGGAATAATAATGAATAGAAAGGCAGGCATATTCAGGAATTGGGAACCCCAAGAACAGCAGAAGAAATGGCAGGGGTTGAGAAACTGCTAAGAGGAAGTAAGACACCAAGCTTGAAAACAGGGGGATGAATTGAAGGCCTGCAGATGAAATAGTTCACTAGGATTAGCAACCTCAATAGTGCCAGCCATGGAAAAGTAAAAAATTGCATATGATGTCAGATAGCTAGAAACTGCTTTCTTATGAATTCTAGCAGAAGAATCAAATACTTACACTTGGCATTTATACAGTTGTGTAATAGTTAATAATAATAATGATAACGATAATAATAAATTCCCTTTTGTGAAAACCCACAGAAATTGATGTTTGTGGGAGAAACAAATAAAATGCTCATGAATATCTAGATTGTACTCTTAAAGGTGGCAAAATATGGTATTTAGTTAGAAAGATGCTCTTACTGAGAAATCATGGTCAGTTCCAGAGGAATCTAATTATTATAAAAATATATTTCCGGCCGGGCGTGGTGGCTCACGCCTGTAATCCTAGCACTCTGGGAGGCCGAGGCGGGCTGATTGCTCGAGGTTGGGAGTTCGAAACCATCCTGAGCGAGACCCCGTCTCTACTAAAAATAGAAAGCAAATAATTGACCAACTAAAATATATATACAAAAATTAGCTGGGCATGGTGGTGCATGCCTGTAGTCCCAGCTACTCGGGGAGCTGAGGCAGGAGGATCACTTGAGCCCAGGAGTTTGAGGTTGCTGTGAGCTAGGCTGACGCCACGGCACTCACTCTAGCCAGGGCAACAAAAGTGAGACTCTGTCTCAAAAAAAAAAAAAAAAACAAATAGTTACGTATATATATATATATTTCCAACCTTATATAACAGGCTAAAGAGACTGAAGTGAAATCTTTTGCTGAAAGTCATGAAGCTAATTAGTGTTCAATCTGGTATTAGAACTCAGATCACTGGACTTTTGACACAAACCTACCAGTAGGGTAAGCTTTGTTTCAGTCCCATTTTTCACCAGAATCTTCTTTTTCTTTGTCATGTGTTTGAACACATTATTAGACACAGAAATTTGCTCTGTGACGATAGGAGGGTATGAAATTTACTTGTTGACATTTTGGCTAATTCCATAACTTTTTCCTCATTATTAGACTTATTTAAAAAACAGAAGTAGCTGATCATAGTAGAATATGAGGACCCTCTCATGAATGTGACTTTTTCACATTCTTTAAGAGGGTCAGGTTTATGAATGAAAAATATAAGCAAGGAACAGGGTAGGAAAATATGGCTTGACCTTAAACCCAGGGTTAAGTCAACATAAACCAAGGACAAATCATGATTTTGATTGTTTTCTTTTAAGAATACTAAATGATTCATAAAACTAGAATGATATCTTTGCCACTCAAGGAAACCTTTATCTGCCAATTTGTAGAAAATAGTGTCTTTATTTCTATACTCAAGATTTGCATCCTGTTTCTCTGATATAATTTACATTTGGTTACAATAAGAAAGTGCATTAATATCATGTTTCTGATAATATTATTGTCAATAAAGTGGTTAACAACGTAGTCATTCAAATGGCTATAATTACATTTCTAGGTTAACATTACTATTAAGTTGAATAAGAAAAGCTTTTTCTTCTGTGGTGTTGTTCCACATCTGGGTCTATGGTCTCCAAAGGCAAGACGAATTAGCCTTTCATTCTAAAAAATAAATGTCCCCTTGGTTGTAGAGATAATAGCTCTAGTAAGAAATGTAAACCACATTCTGGAAAAACCAAGCAGAAATTCATAGGCCCTTAAGCCTTTCAGAGCCAACCAATTTCAGTTGCTTCGGGCTGAATAATTTTATTGAACTGCAATAAATTTGAATTACTTCTAAATCCCTAAATTTGGGAGGAGAATCTATTCTTATTTTAATATAAGAGAGAAGGAGGAATGTGAAATCATGCCAACAATATCTACGAGTGTTAGAACAGTATGAAGGTGGCTCTATTTGCTGTGTTCCCCCTGAAAGGTATAAAGCTGAGAGATGATTGCTGGTGAGTCACTACTGTTCTATTTCATCTGGAGACCTGAGTGCTCTCGCTGCTCTATTCCCTTAGGGGGTCGTGTTCCTATGCTTAAAAGAATATTGCCTGCTCTCTGAGCTAATGATTTGTTTGGAGGATGGAAGTCTCAGAGGTGAAGATAACTGCACAGCTTTTAAAATGTATCTTTCAGATCTTTGATCTGCCTTTTTTCTGAATACATGGGACCTCTCGATAGCAAGATTAAAGATGCCTCTTCATAGAAGAAAGGCAAAAGTTGAAAACTTAAAAGCTGCTCAGATTTCCAAATAATATTTTTGTATTTTTCATTTTGTCAGCATCATGTTTGGTGATGATCAGCCTTCATTTCATGTGATAATTGGATGGTAATCAAAATGCAGTGCTGGATCACAGGTTTTCCAAGAAGATGGGGGAAACTATGAATTTTGTTTTTAAAAAGTGGCTAGTGTAATCACTAGTTTGTGATCAGGGCATACATACATACTCATTTTGAATTCTACTTAATTCGACAAATATTTTCTTGGTACCTAGTAGATGTCAAACATTGTGTCTTCTTTCATAGGTAATACTAAGAATCAGGATCTGTTTTTAAGAAACCCATACTCTTATTTGGGCAGTTAAGGCAATTACAGAAATGGCCATGGTAGGATGGAGAATATGCCAAATGACAAGTGCTTGGAGGGAAAGGAATGACATCCCATGTGGAATCAGAGAGTAGAGACCACACTCAAGTGGGGGAAAGCGGGAAAGATTTCGGCATGTGAGAAGGATCTAGCAAGATGAGCAAGATTTCCTTGGGACTGGAGCTGGAATAAAATGACAATAAGGTATGTTGTATGAGTGGGTGAGGAGCACAGTGGGGGGAGGGAGGTCCAAAAAGTGGTCCAAAAAGTTGAGAAGCTTATACTTAACTAGGAGGTAGTGGGGAGTCAATGAAGATTTTTAAGCAGAGCAGAGATAGAATGAGAGTTATGGTTTAAGAAATATTTTCGAAGCATTTGAAAGCAGATTTTAGTGTATTTTGAACTAAAAATACGTCTATGCAAACAAATAAGTGTGTTTGGTAATATCCTACAGGTTTTATTTCCAAATAAAGTGACTATCCCTAAAAGTGTTAAACATGTCAATGGTATGAGAGTTAGCTTCTTCCGTTGTAGCTAATTCATGCATAGATTTCTAATGTGAAGAAATAAATCGGTAAGAGAGTTTTTAAATAGCATTATGAAGAATTTAATCTTCCCCCCCACCATACAAAGAGGTTTTTTAAATGTCTGATTAATACTTTGAAGTGCATTTTTTGCTCTGCATCAAAGTCCTTTGGAGCAAAAAATGACCTTATAAAAAACAGAAAAATGAAACATAAAAAGTAAAGAAAAATAAATAGCTTTATAGAGTAAGGAAAAGCAAAAGAGAATTTTAAACAGCCCAAAACAGGAGTGCCTCAAATACACATGAATCTGATCAGAAGATAGTTTCTTTACAAGTGTTTTTTCATAATTACCATTGTGATTGTTAGTGTTTATCCAAGACAAATCTGAAAATGTGAGTAGCTCAACTTATCCTCTACCAAACCTTTATCAGAATAAGTAATCTAACATGAATCATGTTTCTCTGCTTTATCTCCTGCTATTCCTGGACAGAAAATGTGATAGCCTAAAGGATACATAACTCAAAACTACAGAGATACCAAATACATCATGGCATGACAGCATCCTGCAGTAAGCAAAATATTACCTAAAAGTGGTTAGTTAATAATTGACTATAAATATTTGTTGGGGGGCACTTGAGTGCACTGACATTCAACAACCTATCTGTTTTGGACGATTTCATCTTATTTCCTCTTACCGTGCATGTATATGGAACAAGACCTCTCCTTATTTAATAACTAGAAGACAGAGAATTGTAAATGCTATTCTACTGACCTAAAAGAGTCAATAAAATTCCTTTGTGCTTAATTTACTATTATTTACTATTTATTCTATGGGGGAAATAAATGCCAAACATATTGTTTTTTCTTCTAAATGACCTAAGGGGGAAACAAAAGAGTTCCAAATTAAATATAAGATGCTTCTTCAAATTACAAAAGGTTTGCCTTATGATTCCTTGAGTTATGCCAAAATATCAAAAATATTTAAAATACTTTACTTTAAGAAGCTTGATTGACAAATAAATAATACAACAAACTCAAAGGTCTGTCATAGATAGTCCTGTATTTTTGTTTGTTTTGTTTCATTTTAAAATATCCTATTCTAAAGTTCTTAACTGGGGACTAGAGCCTAGCCAAGTTGACACACAAAATTTACCCTTATATCCCTTCTAACTATCTGTTTTTAATTGACTATTTTCACTCTAATTATTCACAAGAAAAAGCAGGCAAGAAAAAGCTAGACTGAAGAAAAATTACTATCAAATATTTTAAAAATTAATATTCAAACTCAAATTGATCAAAAAGAATAGGAAAATTTACCACCATCAGTAAAGTAACTGCATAAAACAAACTGGCATTCATCAACAGTTGCTTTTGTCAGTAAGGTATGATGCTGAGCATTTTTAAAAAGCATAAGCTTGTTTCACATTTCTTACAACTGATCAGTACATATTGTTGACTATTTAAGATAACTGGAAAAAAAACCCTAGCATAAGAATGGTGATTTATCAACTACCACAAACCATTACCCCTATTTTATGCTTCCCTTAAATATTGAAGGTATAATATAGCACAAAAGTATATGCAAATTTCATGTACTAAGGAATCAATAAAATTAAAAATTATCAATCAAATTAAAATCACCAACGGTTGAATAAACCTTTCCAATGAAAATGACTTAACCATTAAGAATGACACAACAACTAGAATGTTTTCAAAAACTGATGCCTTACCCGTAACTGGCTGAGGTTCAATGTCGCTTCTGGTCTCCTTCCATGACAGCAGGTAGCCAAGGCTGGTGAGATCTGCAGATTCTATATAATTGGTCACTGTCAGCATCATCTGATGGGCTTTTGCTATTCCATAATGGACTTTTGTTTCCTCCATCAGAGGCATGTTCATTTCCCCAACTGTTTCGTCAAAAGCTTGCTGAAAGTATTCAGAAGCTATGTTGTAGTGTCCCTAAAAAGGTAAGAGAAATAAGAAAAATAAATTTTTCTTAATTTTTAATTTCACCATTTCACATATTTGCACACTTGACCCCACTTGTGCCACATTAGTCTTTCAGCAGTTATAGCAGTCCATCTTCAAGAAGAAAGGGATAGCAAGTAGGCTATTAGAAGAAGGTCCACTTTTTAAAGAGTTGTGATTACTCACCATTCATTATCTTGAAACTAATTTAGTTGGAAATTGTATCTATTCGATTAAACTGTACGAAACTTAACTTCTTGTGGATCAAAAGTGGTCAAATATTGGCAGTTTCATATGGTTCAACCTAATACATGGTACCAAAAAGAAGTTTGGAAATGAGTCAACCAATTCACATTGATTTGGATGGAATTTTATTACCTGTAGAGTTGAATTTACATAATAAAATATATTTAACTATCTTTTGTTTTCAGTCACAGCAAATAGTTATTTTCAGCCAACTCTTTTAATTAGTAGCCAGTGAAAATAAATGTAACTACCTGTGGATTCAGTTACTGTTCTTCTTTCCCCATGCAGACATGCCATTCTTTTCAAAAAATTTTAAATTATTATGGGTACATATGTATTTATAGGCTACATGTGATGTTTTCATACAGGCATACAATAAGTATTAATCAATCAGAGTAACTGGGGTATCCATAACCTCATCATTTCTTTGTGTTAGGAACATTCCAACATTCCAATTCTACTGTTTTGGTTATTTTCAAGCATACCCTAACTTATTGTTGATTAGAGTCACTTTATTGTGCTATCAAATATTATTCATTCTATGTATCTAACTATATTGTGTGCATGCCATTCTTCTAAACTGAGAATATTGATGTATTCAAAATTACTAAAAAAAAAATGATCTTGAGAGGATTAGCACAAATCAAATGATCATTTAAATATCTATCTTTTCAATAAGTCCTTTGCAACATTTCAAGTTGCAAAAATTCAAATTTTTTTTGTTATCCTCATATCTCCTAAAAGCTATTGTCCACAGATAAGTAGTGTTTACCTAGCCCTTATGAAGCATTAGGACCAGTGCTAAATACTTCATATGTATCATGTCATTAACCTTCACATATTTTCCTATGAAGAAAATATTATCCTTATTTTACAGATAAAGAAATTGAGTCTCAGAAAAGAGACTATCTCATGCTACTCCCAAATCTTCTAAAGATCCTTCCCTAGAGGAGGATATTACTTCTAGGATGAGCCTGTATTTGTAAAGGCTCTGGGAAACATAATTTCCTTTATTCACTGACATAACCGCTGGGCTCCATCACCCCTTCCCCTCCACTCACCTCCCTTCTCCCCACTCCGGAACACACAAACAAAAGCATGCACGCATGGTCTTTTGAAAAGAAACCATTATAAGACAGAATGTTTTACTATATGAGTTTTCGAGTCACTTTCTCACAACATTTTATGAAGGAAATGGACATAAAAACACCACAGGAACAGCTTTATAGCATACACCAGTACAAATAAAATGCATTCTCATCTCCATGAACCCTTATATAATCATGAAGTTCCGAGAGTAATAAAACTGAGTAAAGAAGTTTCTATCGAGGTGAGGAGAGGGAGAGATAGGGCTTGTGTAACAGTTATGTTACATACACGAGCAGCACGTGTACCACCGTATTATATGCTCACAAAGACAGTTTCGGAGAACTGTTTATTCAAGTGATTCATTCCAACTAAAATTTATTAATTTAAACAGAGTCCCTCTATATTAGACCAACAATAATTTTTGTTTGTTGTGGTGAACAATTCTTTCTCTTTTATCAAAGTATAAAACATAGAATTTATATGAGAAAAAGATTAATTAGAAAAAATAAAACTGTATCAAAAATATTTTTATGCCAATTAAAGTAAACGGTGATTGAGAAACAAGACAAATACAGAAGATGATGAAAATAAAACTACTTAGAATTACAGATGGTCTTGGCGGACATCAAAGATATAAGACAAAATATATGAAAATATATGATTAGGCCAAACACTGCCAGTTTTCTAAGAAACAGAGAGTATAAATATCTAATTATTGTTCTACTTATATTTTGGAGATTTAGGCCATTTATTGTTTTAAAGTGAAAGTCTTATTTAGGAAAATTAGGCACAATAAATAAATGGACATATAATTTGGATTTCCAAAGTATTTTTTAATACATTAGTAGGCTAAAATTAACTAATTCATTCATCAATTCATTCACTAGGCAACCACTAGAAGCCAGGCCAAATGCCAGGCTGTGGAGATCCAGCAGGAATGGAGCTTACAGTCAAGTTGGTGAGCTCGCTATTAGTGGAAATAGTGATATGCCTAAAACTTTGATTAGATCTTATTTAACGAGTGCTTTTTATTCTCCCTAAAATAGAAGCATTATAACTAGGTAATAGTTTTTCCCTCAAATTGTGCCTCGTATTTAGACACACACACATCTTTAGACACACACAACTGCCATACAACTGATATCAACCTACATTTCTCTAGTTTAAAACACCACTAAGGAAATATACATTGATTCTCCTCAGACACATTTTTATACATACCGTTTTAGAATCAGATTTCACTAATGTGTATTATGTTTACAGATTTTTAATTCTTAAAGAATTGAATATCTAAATCTCTTCTCCAAAAGTTCAGTATAACCTTCCACAGTTCATTTCTGTTATCAGGTAATCCCTATTCTGTTCAAAAATTCAGAAGATTCGAGCAATTAGTCCTGGCAGTCTTAAATAAGGGTTTGAGAATATGCATCTGATGGGAAGAGGAGACTTCATTTAATGTTATAAATATTCCTGATAAGCAATTGGTGGACAATTCTAGGACAGGATCCTGATGACATCATAGACCATGAAACAAAGATTGAATTATTACATTGTAACAGAATTTTCATACATTATGCTGATTCTTAGTGTCTAAAATGTCACTCTATCCAATGAGCAAGCTCGAAATAAATGGACATTTTCTAAACACTAAAGATAAATCATTTCCTACCTATTTTTCCTACAATTTTAGTGTTGAATTACCATTCTAACTATATGATTATTATCTGATCTTATTAAGGAATGAGAAGTTTTATAAAGGGTCTAAAACATTCTCATTTGACCACTTTACATTAATTGCATATTTTCAATTAGCAGTCCATCAAAATATCATATCCAGAGGGTAAAATGTGTGGCCCATCCTTCCATAATTATATAGTAAAAGGTAAACTAACTAGGAAAAAAGATTTTTTAAGATGTGCTAATTTTAGTTATGATAATATTATAATAATTACAGAAATCAGTAACTTCAATATTTTTCCAATTATAGTTTTGCTCTTATAATATTTCTTGAAAATTATTGTCTTGAATATAATTAAAATACATTACATATGTAATGTGAATCCAGAAAATATTAGATTTGCTTTTAAAGATTCAGGGCAATTTTTAAAATGTTAAGATACTGGCCGGGCGCGGTGGCTCATGCCTGTAATTCTAGCTCTCTGGGAGGCCGAGCCGGGCGGATTGCTTGAGTTCAGGAGTTCGAAACCAGCCTGAGCAAGAGCGAGACCCCGCCTCTACTATAAATAGAAAGAAATTAATTGGCCAACTAAAAATATATACAAATTAAGCTGTATGGTGGCGCATGCCTGTATTCCAGCTACTTGGAGGTTGAGGCAGGAGTGCTTGAGCCCAGGAGTTTGAGGTTGCTGTGAGCTAGGCTGACGCCACAGCACTCACTCTAGCCTGAGCAACAAAGCGAGACTCTGTCTCAAAAAAAAAAAAAAAAAAAGTTAAGACACTGTACAAGAATGAAATGAAATGTTCAGAAATTTAAAAGTGAGAGAATACTACTCTCAAGTGGTACGAAGCTGTATTTATTAGTTCAGTGAAGTGACATATTTTTGCTCACCAACTCTGTGCCAGGTTCTCTTCTAGGTACTGGAATAAAATTATAGACAGGGCAGATACAGCCCCTGCTTCCAGCAAGCTTACATGCTAGCCAAATTAAACAATGACAAAAAGAAAATGTCATAAACAAGGAAACTCTGAGATAAATGCTGCACAGGCAATTAAAATATAGCAATGTTAAAGAGTGACCTGGTAGCTACCTTTGGTTGGGTTGCCAAGGGAAGGACACTCTGAAGATGTAGCATTTAACAGAGATCAGAGTGACAGGGAGCCAGTGAGGTGCAGAGCGTTCTAGTCAAGGCAAATGTCCTAAGGCAGGAACTAGCTTGGCATGTCTGAGGAACTCCAGGAAAGTGAGTTTGGCTGTGGTGGAGAAGATAAAAGGGAGAGTAGGAACCAAGGAGGTCAGAGACAGGGGTGGAGGCCATCTCCTATTTCAGGACAGGCTGAGGAGATTTGTGTTTATGTTCTCAGGAGAATGGGAAGTAGTGAAAGTGTTTTAAGCAGAGAAGTAACATGATTCGATTTACATTTTAAAAGGAAGTCTTTGGCCTCTGAGTGGAGACTGGCTTGTGTATGGGGGCGGGGACAAAAGTGCCTGCAAGGAAACGGGTGTGGGGCTTACCCTGGTAGCCCAGGAGAGGAAATACAGTGTCCTTAAACTGATGTGGTGGTAGTAGCAGAGGTAGAGAGACGCAGGTGGGTTTGACACACATTTTGGTGGCATAAAGGTCGGGCTTTGCTTCTAGATTGAATATGGAGTATGGAGGAGAGAAATATCAAAGGATATCGAGATGTTTGGCTTGAGCAACTGGGTTGTTGGGTTGATGGCTAATGCTACCATGTATTAAGATGGGGAAGACTGCAGAAGAGCAGGTCAAAGAAGAATGGAATTATGTTAAATTGGAAATGTCTATTAGAAATCCAGGTGGAGATGCTGAGTAAGCAGTTGCCTTTATAAATCTGACGTCCCAGGAGAGAGCAGGATTGGAGATACAAATTTAGGAGTATATGGATGATATTTAAAATTATAGGTCTGCATGGGGTCAGATATAGGGAGCTCATAGATTGAGAAGAGAAAATTGCCTGGAATGTTCCTGAATAATACTGTATCAACACTTACATGCACATATGGTAGTAACAATCATCGGGTGTCAGGCAGATGGGAGAGGGGAGGAGGGCATGAGTATATTCACACCTAACGGGTGCAGTGTGCACTGTCTGGGGGATGGACATGCTTGTAGCTCTGACTTAGGTGAGGCAAAGGCAATATATGTAACCTAAACATTTGTACCCCCATGAGATTCTGAAATTAAAAAAAATATTGTATCATGGTTGAGCTTTAAGTTGGTAGAGGAATGGAATGTATGGGAAAAATTAGGAGTTAAGTTCAGTTTTTAGTAGGTTATAGTTGAAGCAATCTAAGTGAAGATGTCAAGTAGGCAGTGAAATATGAGTTTGGAGTTGAGGGTAGATCTGAGCTTGAGATATTAAGAAGCTAAGAGTTATGTATGCAATATATGCTGGAGATCTACTGGTTAACTATACATATTTTAAAATTTCTAATCATCATATAGCTAGTCTTCAAGGTATCTTGTTATTGACAATTGAAAGATGGGGAAACTGAGAATCAAAGAATTATCTTGCCCCAAGACACAGTTAATTAGTGGCAGATGTCAATGAACAAAACTCCAGGTGGTCCCTCTCTTTGTCCTGCTATAGCTTCCTTCTTGGAAAAGATTAACACACAGGCTGTGGTGCAAATACCTTATGAAATCGTTTAGCCATATTAACTGGAATAAAGGCATTTAGTACAATTAGGAGACACCCATAAGCACCTGGAAAGTAGTGACATGAAATAATTCACTGCAAGTGTTTCCCTAGGAAATGGCTTTGTAGAACCAGAAAGAAATTTAGGTTGTCATCAAGGCTATCACTTTGTCTCCAAAAAATGAGAAGGAAAAACATAACTACCATTTAGTTCTAATAAGTCCACTTTATTATGTCTAATACCTTTCAAATAATACTCTTAGTAACGATTTAGCAACTCAGAGTCAGATTGACAAATCATCAGTAGCTTTCTTGATTTGTGGAAGTGTCAAAAAATAGTCACAGTAATGGACAAAATATTTAATGCAACTTTAACGATTTGAGGAACAAATCAAGTTTTGTTTTAAAGTCTGTGGTGTCATAAATCCTGTTATGGCATTATCTACTTAATACTATTCTATTTGTCAGTGAGCATTTATTAAAGGAATCACTAAGGTGTATGAATCACCTTGTATATTTGGAGGTATATGTATCTGAATATGGTATAGATACCTAGAATCCTCCAAATTTTATATTAGAATAGGGATAAACTGATAAAAATTAACTTTTGGCAATTGACACAGCCTTTGAATATTATTTCTTTTTTTTTCTTTACTTTTTCTTTTCTCTCTCTCTCCCTCTCTCTCTCTCTTTTTGAGACAGAGTCTCACTCTGTTGCCCAGGCTAGAGTGCCATAATGTCAGCCTAACTCACAGCAACATCAACCTCAGACTCCTGGGCTCAAGCGGTGATCCTCCTGCCTCAGCCTCCTGAGTAGCTGGGACTACAAATGTGTGCTACCACACGCGGCTAATGTTTCTGTTTCCAGCAGAGACAGGATTTCGCTCATGATCACGCTGGTCTTGAACTCCTGACCTCAAGCAATCCTACTGCCTCAGCCTCCCAGAGTGCTAGGATTACAGGGGTGAGCCACTGCGCCCAGCCTGAATATTATTTCTTGTCTCCAGCCTTTAGATATTAAGCTCTTCTCCAAGAGTCAAACATCAGAGAATAAAATACACATTGATGAGATACAAACTCTAGGAAAAAAAGTTAAAAATATTACTCCTCAGAAAAGTTTATTTTCCTTATGCTTTCTATAATTAGGAAAATTCGTAACACTCAATGTTCTTGTTACCCTAAAGTGCTGAGTTTTGGGTGTCGTTTGGTGACAGGGTAAAACAATTTGCTCTTTGCAGAACAATTCTTTTAAAAAGTGAGACTCTAATCTTTTTTTTTTTTTTTTTTTTTTTTTTAGGAAAGTCAATTCTGCTACTATAGAAGAAGCCCCCCCCCCCCATTTAACTGTAAACCTCACAGGAGTATAATAAGTTTTGCCTTTTTTTCCACCTCTGTATACTGAAAAGTAAACAAAAGCAAATACTTAAGATCAATTAGAGAAGAGTGAGTGAATAATGACAAAGAAATGGCCTGGGGACCCGGAGGCAGCAGAGGAAGCACACAAAACACAGGAAAACCTGAGCGACACTGAGGACACAAACGAAGAGGGAAAGCAAAGTGAGAGGCCAGAGGGAGAGAGAGAGGCAGGGCAGCACCTGAGCAGCCTGAGTGTGAGAGAGCACGACCAGGAAGAGGGCAGGAGGGGCGAAGGGAGTGAGGTCGGTAAGGACCAGGAAAGAGGAGGGAGAAAAGGAGACTTTTAGGATTTTAGGTCACAGGAGAGAGAGAAAGCAAATGAACTAGGGAGAGCAAGAGAGGAAGAATACGAGAAAAGTAATGAGATATTTTGTTTGAAAGCACTTTTCCCATAGCAGGAACTGAAGAAATAGTAATTTCATTCATTCTAATTAATTCCAAACTCTATTTCCTTAAAAATCCTAAGTCATTCTGAATTAAAGTTAATTTTATAGAAAATAATAGAATGCTGTAGTGGTTAAGGGTATAGATTTGAATGCCCCTGCCACCTAGAATCTTGGAGACTTGGGGTTAAGTTAAACTCTCTGAGGATCTGGAAAAGGAAAATTGTTTGCTACCACTAAGGGTGTAGAGAATAACAAAAGCTAATGCTCATAAAGATAGCACTTCCTTCTCTCACTATAAAGCATGATTCTAAGTGCTTTACATATATTAATTCAATACTCACAGCAACCTTCCGAGGCATCCAGAAGTTCAAGTAACTCGTTTTAGGTCATATATCTTTCACTTATAAGTGAAAGAGGTGGGTTTTGAACCCAAGCAGTCTTGTTTCAGAGTTAGTGCTTTTAATCACTACATACACATCCTCTCAGGGCCAAAGATAAAAGTACATAAAGACAGTCTGAGAACATGACTATCCTTAAAAAATGATGGATTTTATTTATGATCAAAACAGCAATTATGGCGATGATAACTAGAGAAACAAGCCTCTCCCATACCATTTCTAAAGGAAAACCTGTAATAAAAAGATCAAATAGTAGAAAATATGACAGAAGTCCATTAAGACTAGTAAAAGCCCATTTTGCTAATAATGGCTTCTCTCGAATGGGATAATTTTATTTTGGACTTTTCTTCCCCCTTTTTGTTTTCTTTTATATAATCAAACTATTGCTAACATTCTATTCCAAATTTTCCTTCAAAATTTTTCTGGGGATTGTCACTTCTCCCAAGGCACCTGCGTGGGGGGAGTGTCACAGCTGCATTAATAAAATAAGAATTTGGAGAGAGAGAGATGAATGTCTGTGTAGGCAGACGGGAGCCAACAGTCACAATGAACTTCCTTTGAATTTAAATATTTTCGTTGCTCCTCAGATCCAAAGTCACTGAGAAGCCTCATTGTCATTGGCTTCTAAGTGAATATATGAATCAGGGTTAGCGCTTGCGACGACTGCACCCCAGATGGCACTAAGGTGCTGGAAGAAGAGGAAGAGAAAGAGGCTTTTCTCCTCCAAACCCTTGACTTGTGTGTTAAGTATGTCCCTTAGTCCCAGGCCACTCTGCATAACATATTGTGAGAAGGCAAGGATCACATGAGGCTAGACTTTTAAACCTACAAATTTCTCCATAAACAAGACTCATATACACTCACTTTTTCATTGTAGATGTCTCCAAGCATTGTACTTGCTCTCACAATATCTAGGCTTTGGAAATTGTTTCTTGCAAGTTTCACAACTTTTTCCAAGTAGTTAATTGCTTCTGTCATCTCTCCTTGGCTGGAATAAAATAGGAAATCATTGGAGTATCATCTCACTTAATGTCACAGTGAAGAAAAGGTATTTTCTGCCTTTGCTGTAGAAAATGCAAGATGGTTATCAGGATAATGAGATTTAGGGTGCAAATGCCAAATTAATAAATATATGGCTTGTTTTTGTTGAAGTATACAGTGAGTTAAAGCTGAAACTTTTAAACTTTCACACATTGCTGATGGAAATGTAAAATGATGCAACTGCTCTGGAAAACAATTTTGGCAGCTCCTCAAAAACTTAACATAGAGCTCCCATATGACCTAGAAATTTCACTCCAAAATATATACCCAGGAGAAACAAAAACATATGTCAACACAATAACTCATACCCAAATGTTTATAGCAGCATTATTCATAATAGACAGGGAATGGAAACCTAAAGTCTTATCAGTTGATGGATGGGCAAACCAAATATGGATATTCACACAATGGGATATTATTCAGTCTTAAAGGATTGAAGTAGTGATACATGTTACACATGGGTGAAACTTGAAAACATGCAAAGTGAAAGAAGCCAAACACAAAAGATCACATACCGTATAATTCCATTTACATGATACGTCTAGAATAGGCAAATTCATGAGACAGAAAGTGGGTTAGTGGTTGCTAGAGGCTGAGGAGTGGGGGGAATGAAGAGTGACCGATAATCGGTGCAGGGTTTCTTTTCAGGGTCATTGAAATCAGATAGTGCTGATGGTTGCACAACTTTGTGAATGTACTAAAAACCACTGAACCACAGACTTTCAGAGATTGAATTGTATGATATGTCAATTATGTCTCAGTAAAGCTGTAATTTATTTTTAATTTTTTTATTTCAGAATATTATGGGGGTACAAATGTTTAGGTTACGTATATTGCCTTTGCCCCACCTGAGTCAGACCTTCAAGCATGCTCATCCTCCAGATGGTGCACACTGCACCCATTAAGTGTCTTTATACCCCTCCCCCCACCTGCCCAACACCCGATGAATGTTATTACTATATGTGCACTTAAGTGTTTATTTTTTAAAAAATAATTTATAAGTTTATAAAAGGTGACTTCTAGTTTATTCTTGCAAGCATCCCTCAGCAGTGAAAGTTCAGGTGTCACTAAAGTCACATATACATGTTACATACTCTTGCAAAATGCTCAGAAAGACATAAAATTTCCAGCAAAGTGCTTACCATATACTAGGTATTTATATCTTTTTGAATGGTGGACCGACTAAAATTTGAGAAGGGAAACACATACGCTGTATACACGAAAATTACATATCCAGGTAAATTGTGTGAACCTTAGTCATATGAATGCTTGGAGTCCATGATTCTAAACTCCTGGATGTTTCAGTAACATCAAGAAACTTTGAGAGCCTAGCAAATGCCCTAAAATATGCTGATTTGTTGCTGGCCATACCATGTTTCCCCGAAAATAAGACAGGGTCTTATATTTATTTTTCCTCAAGAAGACACCCTAGGGTTTATTTTCAGGGGATGTGTTATTATTTTTAAGTATGGTACAACAATCTACATTTATTCAAATATAGTTAAGTCATCTTCTTCTGGAACATCATCATAACTCTCCAAACCCTGAATTCCATCCCGAATTTCTTACGACTCTATTTACTTTAGACCCACTGGCCCTAATCTCTCGTGTCTAACAATAGAGCTCTCATGGGCAGATGAGAAGGGCTGCTCATCTTCTTTACCTCTCCGCAACAAAATGCATGGGTAGCCACGCCCATCACTAGGTCTTATTTTCAGGGTAGGCTTATATTGCAGAAATGCTTAGAAATCCCGCTAGGGCTTATTTAGGGGTAGGTCTTATTTTCGGGGAAACATGGTAATTGCTGGGGAATATAGTTCCTGTCCTTGAAGAGTTTCACTGTCAACTTAGAGAGATAAATGCGTAAATTCCTACATGGGATTAAGTGTGATAGCTGTTATGAATTATATATATAGTGCTTTGAAACTTGTAGCACATTCATTTGACTCTCTTCATAAGAGCAAGTCTAGAGTTTGTGGGGTAAATTTGGTCCTACAAGGCAGCCAAAAGGAATTTTGAGCCAAATTTGGTGAATGAAATGGTGATCTCAAAGACTTCATATACATTTGAAAAATTATAGTATGCACTGTGGGTGACATCTTTGAGCTGTATAAAATGTGTAGTGTGCCTATCGATTCACAAGCCTCTTGCTCTAGTCCGTGTTCCTTCCTCCTCTCAAACAAGGACGCACAAATACTGGTGCTATTCTAAAGAACCCATCACAAGATCAGAAAGCATTTTCAAGGGAGTTTATTTTAAAGCAGGTATTGGCAGGATTAGGGATATTGCCTCACATAACCTCCCAAGATCTGGATAACATTCATTTTCATAGGTAAATTGTGGTATGTTTACAAAAAATAAGCTGGATAACTTGAAAGTCACAATGAGTTGTGGTATATATTAGAAAGGTCTAGGCTTGAGTCCCAGCTCAGCCTCTTAGATGAATAACTTTGATCACATTAAAGTTATGAAACTGAAGGAAACTTCAGTTTCCTCTTTCTTAAAATGACCAGGAATTGCTGCAGGATGAAACATTGTGTCAATGTTTAGCCCGGCACATAGTAGGGATTCAATAGATGGCACTAGTGTTATTGTTACCGCTCAGTGAAATAAACAGTTATCACATTCACTGCTCTCTACTAGATCTTATTTACCATAAGCTGAAAAGAAAATTCAATTTAGCTAAGCATGTTTTTTGAAAACCTTTCATCATACAATGAATTAAATACTATGATTTCAATGTATGCTTTGCAAAACAGCCACACACATAAAATCCTGATGTCTATTTTTTAGGGGCCAGGATCAAAAAACATTTTTTGTTTACTTATCAGGTACCACCAAATACATTCTTTTTTCCTTCCTTATTGCTAAAAGAATACTCTACCTATCAAAAATAGAATGGACTTTTACATTCCTGAAGCTGTGAATACTGCTTTTATGATTCTGTCCTCATTTTTTCATACCAAAATTAAGACTACTACTCCACAGTTAAGCATAGGTCAATTCTCAGAAAAATTATGCATTGTTTAGGAATTTTTCAAATACAAGCATAGAATAAAATATAATGAGAGGGTTACTAATTATTTTAATTCAAATATTTATTTTGTGAGACAACTAAAAGGTATTGAGAGAGTTCAAGAGCATAACATATTAATAAAAATATAATATTTAGAATTTTGAGCAAACTTGTAGATTTTTAGGGCTAACAATGTTTTATCAGATTGCTGTGAATTTTCTGAGCTCTTCCCTGGAAAAAAAATGATAAAAAAGGAAAAAAGTAGATATTTCTTTGCCTATCACTTTAATACTTTAGGGAAAATTATTGATATTGTTATTATTTAGCTAAAACAGACTCACTGAGGCTTATTTATGCTCATGTTCCTAAAAGCTGATATATTTTCAATGGAAGCACATTTCTGATTAGGTTTGGCTTGCTAAGTATTGTTAAATCAAAGTACACACAAATAAATAAAATAATAAGTTTAGAGAACAAACAAATACAAAATAGTATAAATAAAGCTATTGCTGGGTAAGTTGTTTTCTCCCAAAAGAGCAAAAGATCTCCAAAACATCCCAAATTATCTGGAACTTGCTCTAGAAAATAATGCTAGAGAAAAAAAATCTTTCTATTATAAATTACATGTTTCACTCAAAGAGCATACAGTTCTATAGCCAGCAAAGTTGTTAATGTAGCATCTGAAATATTAATATTATATGTTGGTTAAAGGGTTTTCAAATTTAAAAATTAAGAATATATTTAGGAGCTATTCTTTCTTTGGAAGAGGAAAAAATCAAATATTTTCTTGCAGAAAGCTACAGATTATTTGTATAAGTTAAAGGACAAGGTTAAAATGTTAGACAAATATTAATTCCAGTTTTCTATATGCAGTGCACAGGTGCAACTTGAACAGCATATTATATGGTATAATCATTAAATTCATTCAACCAGACCTTAGAGAGTTAAAAACATATATTCTGAGGAACAGGACTCCTCGGTCCAAAGAATGAGAATGAAACAGTGCAGAATATTTGTGTATCAAGGTGATTCCAGTTTCCAACTGGGAAAACAGGACTGTTAACACCCACGTCCCCTGACAACTGTCCAATTATGTATATCACACTTGGCCTACTGTTTGCAGTAGAAGTAATCAATAAAGGATGTGGTTGAGTGAACATAGATTTTGGTTGAACCAATGCATGAAAACTTAATCATTTACTCAGAGAGAAGAAATCAAATAGAGCAGAGATGAAACAGCCACTAAGGGGTTTGTTGATTGTGCCACCAAGTTTGTGGGCCACAGATGAAAGTAATAAGGCAAATGGGATCAGTGATAGGAGAAAATGTAAAAAGCTATTCTTAATTTCATGAATTAATAGAAATGTTTTGATGTATTTTGGGGTCATTTTTAGGAAATTTCGCATCAAAGCCTGGATGTTCCATTTTAAAGAATATATGAAAATTACTAGGGCGTGTCATTTCTCTCAAGCAAGAAGAAATTAATTTTCAGCTATAACCGAAAGGTAATTTTCACCCTTGAAACTTTTTACTGATTGATTTAAAGATCTCCACTGTGGAAAGTTTTCTAGGAAATAATTTAACTCACGTTTGCAAGAAAATTTACAATTGGTATGGAATAAACCCAGAGATGGGCTACTTGTGACCAGTGTATCTTGAACACGGTTTTGTGAGCTTTTTCCTCTTGATTATTTTAAATAGCCTGAGTAGGTTGGAAAATTATGGGATTTAGTAAATGGGCTTCTTCAGTAAAGGAGGCAAAAAAACATATATACCACAAAGAAAACTGAGGAGTTTTCCTCTCCATATTTACTCAAACTGTCGATATAATAATGATATTTACTTGATAATTTCTCAATTCACTTTCTTTTTGTGTTATGGAGCACAATTCTGGCTTTTATAGTAGTGTCATTGGCAACTGTTATCATTTTAGAATATCAACTCTTTTCTTCACTAGTATTTGAAGTAGATGGAAAATAACATGATAAATGCTTATTTTCTGTTATGTTGCTTAAACTCTTGTGTAATTAATATTATTCAGACCAATAGTAAAAATAACAAAACTTGTTCACTATTAAAACCTTCTTCTATAACTCTAACACTAGGTCTGGGTCTAGCATCACCAAATGGGCAACTCTGTATTACCAAATTCTCAGTCTTCGGGGAACATGGTGTTTTTCAATTGAGGGCTCAATATAAATTCTTATAACCATTTTAGAAGCTTCCAGCCTTGGAGCTTATTCACCTTTCATGCATGCTCAGCTGATGGCTGTAGACACACACTTATCCCAGACATGGCTATCCTCTTCCATTTCCTTTTAAGAGATAAAATATGTTTATAGAGATAGGGCTAACCATTAGTGAAACTTGTGCAATTGCACAGGTTAGGAAAAAGAGATTTAGAGATGATGCTAAGCTTCATATGCAACTTGATTTATTTCTCAGCTGCCACCACCATAATTTCCTCTGTCTGGGCCATGCTCCATTTTCTGCATGTGGCTGCTAACCTGAAAAGGACAGTTTAGGGCTATGAAAGGGATGATACATATATATGTGTGTTTGTGTGTGTGTGAGTGTGCACATGCATGTTATTGAAGAACATCAAGCTCTTCAAGCAGAATTCTCTAAAAATGATCACAAAATTTATATCAAAGCATTTATACTATTTGTGGACTGGATTTAATAGGGCTTCTCAGATATCCAGAGTGCTTTTGTCCACCTCTACAGAATTTTAGATTTTGAAACATCTGCCTGCTAATAGGTTGTACTCAGATTATTTTGTACAGATATTGGAAGAATATGCTGAGGCTTACACTCCCCTGAGCGCTCCTCTGATACCAGTGCTGCAAAATGGCAGATTTGGATTGGAAAGCTTGTTGTGGCCTTGGGACATTTTACCTCCATGACCTCAGAAAAAGTATCTCCTGTGCTCTTTCGTGCATTGTATAACATTATAAAAATAAGAATCCATGTCTGCTATACAAATCATTGATAACTTTATTGTACTTTAATAGGTGGAAATTCTTATAAGTGTAATTAATTTCATTTGGTATAAAAGTGCAATGGGAATAAATCTTGCTCCATTATATGTTTGCCCTAAGGCAAGTTGCTAGGCTACAGAGAATGTTGGAACAGAATTGTCCCCATTCCTACCTAAAACAAACTCAACTTCATGATATATCAAATATAGATGTATCCCTTCCCACTCCTTAACCCCAAATACTTAAGTAGCCAAATTAAAATGTTAGACTGCCTGTTATTGCCAAAATTTATCACATAACTATTTAACCCTCCACTTAGCTTTGATTGTATAGACAAGGAATACAAATCCTAGGGTGGGAGCTAAAATATTCTAGATGAGAGACAAGGTGAACAGGTGAGAATTACTTGAAGACAACTTCATGTCTCCAGAAATTTCAGAAATAATTATAAAAACATCAGTGATCAAAGGGACATTCCAATACTTGTCCTGAACATAGTAAATGCTCAGTAAAAGTTTATAATTTTTTTTTTTTTGCTTGGGGTGTTATTTCTTTAGTTATGTTGAGACACAATAATAACTGTGCAGGATTAGGCCAGGTTTGCTACTACAATGCAAGGTAAAGAATCCAACCATTTTCTACTCATTTGGGGCAGCAATAATAGCAGAGTCAAGTAATTTACTAATCAAAATTACCTAAAAAAAAGAGAGTAGGTTGGTTTGTTCCAAATAGACATTAAATTGAATTCTTACCAATCTATTCTTTGTATTCAATCATCTGCTTTTTCCACATTGTTATTTGGAAAGTAAATGTTTTAAGGGATAGCTGGGTTGGTCTTCCATGGACTAGTTATCAATCTTTATTTGGAGAGACCACAACACTCACAGGTTGCTTGCCTTACCCCTGGCTGGCTCTATCTTTCTTGAGTAAATGTCCATACTCTCCTTATAAATATGTCTGAGTTCCTAAACCATTTATCCAGTGATGACTGGATTTTATTTGGTATTTTGTAGGGTACCTTTCATTTCATTGGTATTGATATTATAAACAATGATTATTATATTAGCAATGGTGCTTATATAAAGATGATTTCAATTTCAGTTTACTATGTATTTAATGTCTCAAATGCCTTTCAAATAAGAATTTTACCTTGTAATACACCACCTTGTATGTGTGTACAACTGAAACACAAATGAGAAGAAATTAAAACTTAATGCAATCTATATCTATTACTACTACACCACCACTACTACTACTATTAGTAAAAAGCTATATCTTGGATATAAGACAACATACCAAAACACAAGGCCTTAACTTTGATAACTTTTGTTATTTTTCTATCTTGGATTAGGTAATAATGCTTAAGTATATAAGGTAATGATTAAATGGAGCATATAATGATCACAATACAATGAGTGAAGAGAAAATCATATCTCTTCCATAGAAAAATATGCATCAGAAGTTGTTCACATGTTTAAAATTTTCTGTTTCAAAGGAAATATTGGGAATATTGGTTTTGCACTCAATTGTTTACCCAGATATGCTCAAAGGAGAGATGTCTTAATGGAAAAAGCATGATTGATGCATAAATGGAAACTTTCCTCCAAGAAGAGATCTGGAAAGGTTAGGGTGAGCCACAGTTACTGAAGCGTACTACATATTTCTGTGCTCTTTGCTTTCTTAACCTCTGAGAAGTGACCTGATTTTTTTCTCTTTTATTCAAGGTCATCACTAAACTTATAGAAAACTGAGAAGAAAATAATACAAAGGAGGAGTAGACAAAGAAGAGTTTAGATGCATATTTTAAAATACCACATTGGTCTAAAATAACTTACGATGAAAGGGTCACTTAAGAAGGGCACTGCTTAAAATTTAAGCAGGCAAGTAATGGAAAGCGACAGACCTCAAACAATTTAAGTCTTTCACAGTTGAGTGAATTCACAGTGACAGCAAGACGAGGATGTGCTAACTTACCTCTGCAGGACCTTGGCTATTGCTTCATAGGCTCTCCCCAGATTGAGATCATCATCCTGGTCTGTAGAGATTTTACTGTAAGTGTTAAGGGCCTATCAGGAAGAGAAATACATATTGAACACTCAGTGCGGCCAGATTCACTGATGTTTCATTTCATAACAGAGAAGATTAAAATTAATAGTTATTTTAATGTCTCTATAAAAAATTTTGGTGTATTAAAAATTCATGTTGGCTTGGTTTATTTTTATCCATAGAATAACTAGTTTCATGGCAATCTCTTTAAGCCATGAGAGTGAAGTCTTACTTTTGTAAAAATAATTCTTTTCTTGCACAACCCCAAATCTTCCAATTTATCTAACTTAGGTGTGAATAAATAATTGAATGGCTTACATTATTTTAAAATATGGGACTATTATCTAAGGTAATATAAGATAGATTGTAATATTCTACTATGGTAGCTTAAACATCACTTTTCTTTCTATAAATAGCTGTTTGGAAAGCATGAATTTAGGTGCTAGGCAATTTCTAAATCTATCATTTTATTAGATGCATATCTCACAGTTTGTACATGTATACAGTATATACTAAAATATTTCTTACAAATGTACTTCATTACCAACAATCTCTTCAATAATCAAAAGATTATAGCTGCCACAGCCAAACATATGATCTTAATTTAATTTAATACTGACATCATCAGAATGGTATCATTTTCCCTTTTCCTTCCCCCCCTTTCAATGGCCAGAAGGAGAAAAATACACAAACCGAAATCCCTATTCTTTCTTTTTCCTTCATTGTTACTTGACCCAACCTTTTACACACATGAGGACACAGGAAATCTCCAAAGACCTCTATCAAAATCCTTTTTGCACACTTTCTAAGAAAGAATTAGTGAAGTCATTTGGTGATATTTGGGAGGGAGATTCTGTATGAGAAGGACATAGTACGCCTTGTGTGCTACTGCCTGAATTAGACGGCCTATAAGGCCTAAGTATTAGAGGCAGGGTTGATATTTTGGTTTTACTTTCTAAAGTTAATATTTGGGAAATAATTTCAATGAGGCTATTGTGATACCTCATAAAATTTGGGTTTTATGTGGTTTGTAAGAAACTGCTTGACACAATGCTGATGTTAAAACTTACATATATATATATATGTATATATATATATATATATACATATATATATATTGATCCAGGGTTTTAATTCCTGCTAAATATACCAAGTTCAAAATTTTGTTTCTTGTTTTCTTGTACTTTAAAAAATTAATTTATTTTAAATTGACAAATAACATATGCACCACTTCACCAACATAACCGTTTTTTTTGTTGTGAAAACATTAAAAATTTATTGTTTTAGCAGTTTTGAAATATATAATACATTATTTTAACCTTGAGTTTTATTTTTGAGTCTCCTAATAAGCCTTGTATAAATCTGAGAATATTCTTTGCACTCTGTCTTGCATAACGAACAACACTTAGATTTAATCTGATATGACTTGACATAGACCTTTCCGAGTTAAAGACTTTTTGGAATCCAAATATCAAGATATTTAGAAAGAGAATTTCTAGTGTGTTTTTTTAGTCCATATATTTTCATATGACGTTCTAGAATATTAAAGTAAAGAAGAAATAGTATTCTATTTTTGTGCCCAAATAGTTCACTTGTTTATTCAGCAAATACTGTTACTGTGTCCCAGGTGCTATGTTAGACCACAGGAAATCTTATGTAGATGAGAATACACTTGCAACCCTGAAGGCATTTATAGTCCAGTGGTACAGACTTTGGACTGATGCAACTATGAGAATTGGCAATGGTTAAAGACAGGGCTTACACTGTGCTTATACTGCACCATTCTTCCATGTCCCTGGACACCATGGGCCCTGAAGCACATGGTCACATCCAGAGGTACCCAATTTTATCTGAGAGATGTGACTCTTTAGCCCATGGATAGCAGGGTAGGTGCCCAAGAAATTATAGGTAGATCCTTTATTGTTGATGGCTCCTATCCCACATCAGTGAGCCATACTTCTAGGGAGCAGCAGGGTCAAAACTCAGCTCAGTCTGGGCTCTCAGCTTTGGCCCCAGACTTGATCCTATGGTAGGTTGCTCATGGAGACAGATGTGGTCTACTGAATGAACACTAATCTGAGAATAAGAACTTTTGGATTCAAGTCCTAGCTTTTCCTCCCACCCAACAGATTTGAGCCATGAAAGCTCCTTGAGTTTAATTTCCTTATAAGTAAAAAAGAAAACCTACTTCTGAGAGTTATTATGAAGCTATTCTGATATAGTATAAAGTGCTATGTAAATCTTAGGACAAGAATTCTTTGGGAATCTGTTAACCAGCTACCAGTGAAGAGATCCTGGCAGGGAGTTTACCCCTCAAAGAAAGACAACCCATCTTATTTGTGGCTTGAGAGAGTTTGGGCATGTCCTTAAACAACTGACATAAAAACAGGAAATATAAAAGCAATAGGTGATTATTGCCAAACAGAGAAACAGTCAATCCCACAAAAATCCATATTTTGTGGGATTTTGTGGGAGGACCTTGCAGAAGAGCTTCTCTGAGTCAAAGACAAAGGCTCTGCTCCTCAGGAATGTAAGCTGTAGCTGGAGAGAAGGGTACGTAAGGTGAAATCATAAGGAGACTGACTACAATGCAAAACCCAGCAGATGGTGAATTGTGCATTTCAAAGCGAAGGAAGTAGGAAGGTCTTCATTAAAATTAAAAAACAAAAATTAGTGGAAAAATAGCATAAGATTATGCATTCTGTAAATGACAAAGATGTTTTATACTATTTTATGATAAGCAACCTAACATGCTTTTTAAAGTAGGTAAAGCATAATCTATAAATTATTAATAATAAATATTGATCAACTTGAATCATTAAGACAAATAGTGAAATTTTTTAAATTTTTTTTTCAAGGAATACTTCAAATAAGAAAATACAGTGTGGCTACCTGAGGCATCCACTGAATTTTATTGACTACCCCTGAGGTATGCAATATGTTAGAAACAAATCCAAGGTCTGGGTGGTTAAAATCTATCACTGCAAATCAAAGATAGGCAAGAATAAAAAGAAAACCCCAGGTGCAAAATATTTTGATGAATTGAAAACATATATCTTTAAAGTTTACAATGAACGTAATTAACCTTTGTCCAAAGTCAGGGGAAAACAATGATGTAGTATGCTACTATGTAAATTTCAATGGACATCAAACTGTGCATGGCAATATGATTACTAAAGCTGGAAAAGTCAGGTCATATACCTAATAAATATTGAGTGCTACATAGCCACTTGATCCAATAGCTCCAATAATTTCAAAAAACATTTTCAAATAAAAATCCAAGTTCCCAAAATGAAATGATTGTCATTGGTTACCTAAAAACAAAACTAGCAGAATATTTAGCATAAAAAATGAGTTTGTACTAAAAATAATGTTGGAGATATGCTACAAATTTTTAAAACAATTGTTTGCTGTAAAATCAGCAATTGCCTAGGGGAACACTGGATTTAAGTCAAAGATTGTCAACTTTCAAAAATATTAATAGACTATCTCTCTGAAAGGAAGTAACAAAGTATGCTGGGTCCTATCAGAAGATTAAGAATTAAAAATTTATAGGAATGAATTTGGGCCTGAGCTTTGGCAACTTTAAGAAGACACAGGAAGATGTTTGTAGATCTAACAGTATGGGACACTTAATTGTTTCCTTTCCTTTTTCCATGCTTTAGACTTCCAGGTGAGGGTACCTTAAACAGAAGAAAATGAACTACAGAGGGCCTTTGAAGAACACAGGTTTTAACTGCACAGATCCACTTATATCATGTTTCCCCCAAAATAAGACCTACCCATAAAATAAGCCCTAGCAGGATTTCTAAGCATTTGAGCAATATAAGCACCATCCCGAAAATAAGACCTAGTGATGGTCGTGGCTACGCAGCATATCTGCACAACCCATGCATTTCATGGTGGAGCGGTAAAGAAGACGAGCAGCCCTTCTCATCTGCCCCATGAGAGCTCTATTGTTCGACATGAGAGATTGGGGCCAATGGTTCTAAAGAAAATAGAGTCGCAAGAAATTCAGGATGGAATTCAGGGTTTGCAGAGTTATGATGCTGTTCCAGAAGAAGACGACTTAACTATATTTGAATAAATGTAGATTGTTGTACCATACTTAAAAAAAAATTAACACATCCCCTGAAAATAAACCTTAGGGTGTCTTCTTGAGGAAAAATAAATGTAAGACCCTGTCTTATTTCCGGGGAAACACAGTAGGTGGATTGAAAATACAGTGTTTGCGGCACTGGAAACCCGTGTATAGGGAGAGCGGACTTTTTGTATTAATATAAACCAGTTCCACCGGGCCTACTGCTTGGGGGACTTGAGTATGTGTAGATAATCCCTGGGTGGTCCTGGAAACAATCCCCACTTGTAAAGAGGGACCACTGTAGGTGGTGTTGATCTCCTTCCTACCTTCCTCTATTTTCCTATTTCTTACCCCACTGCAACTCCTCTCTTATATGCCCTTTATTTTAGATCACATTAAAACAGAAAAAATTCTGTCAGCTATGGCCATTATGGCCCCAGTTCTACAACTGAAACTTAATTTAAACCACTGTGATGACTACCACTTCAGACCCAACTTTTCCAAATGAGATGGAACTGTCTCCCCCTCTCCCTTTGCCCAGCTGGCCCTTATAAGAAAACACTGTATCAGTTCATTTGTTTAAAAGATTTCTAAAGATAATTGTAGAGTTACATGTAGTTGTAGGAAATAATACAGAAAGATCCCATATATCCTTCATCCAGTTTTTCCCAATGACGACTTCTTGCATAATTATAGTACAATATTACAACCAGGGTATTGACGTTGATAAAATCTACTGGCCTTATAAGTACCATATGCTAATCAAATCAGTTCTAGTATTTGATAGTACATTAGGGAAATTCTGGTTAATAATAATTTATTGTATATTTCAAAAGAACTAAAAGAGAAGAATTATAAAGTTCCCAACACAAAGAAAAAAATGTTTGGGGTGATGGATATCCCAGGTGCTCTGATTTGATCATTACACATTGTATTACA